CTTATGCATGCTAGACATCATCTCCACCCATATACTTATGCATGCTAGACATCATCTCCACCCATATACTTATGCATGTTAGACATCATCTCCACCCATATACTTATGCATGTTAGACATCATCTCCACCCATATACTTATGCATGTTAGACATCATCTCCACCCGTATTTATATAGATAGGTCATTTAAGTGCCTCGTGCATGATTTGTTATGGTCAAAGTGTTGCTAACATGATAGAAGAAACCCATGGATGATAAGGGGTTAATTGAATTTTTAATACAACTCTGTAAAAAGGACAGGACATGTGAACTTTGACCCATAGGATTAAAGGAGTTTTAAAGTTGATTAACCACTCCTATGTCATAGATTTGTTATTTCAAAAATTTTTTGTTGTATTTCATGACAAACCATTATGTCAATTTCCTTGTAAAGTCAACTAATGTTAGTTAACTACTTATAAATTACTTCTATATTGGATAATTCAAGGACAATCAGATTATACTCTCATTCAGAAAATGTTATAATCCTGATTAGTTGATAGGGTAAAGTCAGTTCAACAATTCACAGGTCTACCAGCAGTGTGGTGTCTAACAAAGAGGGTAAGCTGAAAGTAAAATATTAATCTAAGTTTCTGATTTTAGTGTATTACATAAAACTAGAAAATGCTTGTATTTAACTGTGCATATACAAGCATTTAATTTTTTATTTTTTACTATCGCACTCATAATTGCAACATAACACTGATAATAACATTCTTGCAGTAGGATCATCAAAACTAGTTTATTATCACATCCATGGAGACGGTTCCAATGTGACAGGCCTTACTAATGGGATAAGCATTAATATTTTAAACTGTAGGACACCCAAAATAATTAGCAGTATTTGTTATCCAGAAGTAAGTCATTCAAATAAAACTAATAACAGCGGTAACTAAGGTCTGAATACCTTTTAATCTTGAGTACAAATCCAAAAGGTTAGCATGCAAAAAATTTAATTGTTTTAGGAAAATAAATTTACGAACACCTCTTGTTTCTTTTTTTCAAATACTGTTGTACATTTCAAGCATCCTTGATGTCATAATAATGATGATGATAGCTGTGTAGTGCTGTTTAACCATAATCTGTAAAAAAAAAGACAAACCTCAATAACTCTCATGCCCGGTTTTAAACGTCCATCTCTTTTCGATGCTCCATCAGGATGGATCTAAAAGTTAGAAGATATAATGCTGCTGTATTTGTTTGAAGTCTTTTTAATATTCTCATACCTTGGTTTTTATTATAATACAATTATATAAAGCTACTTTAAGTGACAGGATAAAATTTTACCTTCAAAAATGTGATAAAAGAATAATTACTATATATTTTAGGTAATAAAGGAATGGTTATCTATAGTAATTTTTTTCTATTTACCTGGAAATTAAGATAATTGACAATAAACTGTGTATAATTTTTTTTTTCTGAACATTACTATGACGTATATATGATATACAGATTGAGAACTTGTAGTTTCGAACTTACTTAATGGGATGAAATAAGTTCTAACCTCCAAAATCTACATTTTTGAAACAAACAAGATGGCAAAGTCCCCAGTAACTTAAAACAAAATATAACTGATAATTACCATATTCCTATCCACACAGAAATAAAATAAATTAAATAGTTAAGAAAAATGAGTAACAAATCGTGTTCTTATTCTTGAAATATCACCATTCTTTGCTAATGACAGACCTCGACAAATCCCGGGCACCAGGTCGCCATGGTGAATAAAAATTTCATTGTGACACCTAATATTTTCTTCCATTTTATTTGTGTGTGGGGCTGTGCTAAATAGAACTTGAATCTAGAACAGTTCTGGACTCTTGGAAGTCCGGAACTATTTTCGCATTTGTCAGTCCTAAATCGAAATTTGTTTCTAGGATTCTAGGATTCAGCGCGTCCTCACGTTTCTTCAAGAATGAACTGCTGCGGTTGCACAAAACATTACTAATTTTGCACCATTTTGTTTTTCTTCTTTCTCTCCATTCAACCAATCAGTGCACATGTTTAGACTCAGACAGGACTAAAGGCAATTAGTTCAGGCAATACTACCAAGTAGTTGTTGATATCATGTGATCATTAGCATGTACTCATTGCTGTGAAAGTAAATAAACATACATAGCCCACATTACCTGGTACAAACAGTAGTGAAGTTACGTTATGCAAACCTAGCTCCTACATCTGAAAATATTTGTTGAGGCCTGGCTTATGAATATCATTTTATCAACATGGAAGAAGGTTTATGTAAAAGGACAAAACAAAGCATTTGATATTCAACTGCTTACTCATTACAATGGAATGTATCACAAAAAAAAAAAATGAATTTAAATAAATCATTGCCTTAAAGCCCAGACTTATCTATAAAATATGAAAAGAAAAAGTAAATGCAACAATTTTAATATCTTAATATGTGAAATAAAGTTATAAACAGACAATCATACATGGCCTTCAATTTAACCTCACTGTATCATAAGTTACATTAATTGCAAGAGAAACCATCTACAATTCTTACAAATGTTACCTATAATACAACAAAACCTTAAGTAAAAGAAAAGTTCAAAAATTATAACAGAACAAAAGGAAAATAGTTGGACTGTTATTTCTGATATTAAAACAAAGCAATGAATTTATCCAAAATTTATGACTTGTCATAATTTTACATACACTGTATTTGTTTATGGCAAAGCCACTAAGGCCGACCTCTGCTGTTCTTAATTTTAAGCTGCTAAACACAGCAAACAGCTTAGCAGCAGCAATTGTTAATTCTTCGCCTATTCTTCACAAACATATAATGAAACTTACCATCATGTTATAATGCCTCTATAGCTGAAAAAGCAAGTACGTTCAATGCAGGGTTTTGATCCTTCAACTCACAAATTACGAGTTGAGCCCTAACCATTAGGCCATGTCAGGCACACAAATGCTTAAGCACTAGAATATTTGACATTTCCGAAAACACAGCCCATAAACAAGGAAAAAAAAACAAAGAAATTTGACAGACTGTTTAAGTTATTACAGAACAAAGAATAAACAAATTAAAAAGAATTAAAAAAATCATAATAAAAACAATAAATATTGACAACTTATGTTCTGAATACAAGTAAATTCAAAAGTAAAAAACTTACCCAAGAAACAAAAATTCCTTCATCAGTAGTATCAAACGGATTTCCAGGCTCACTATGTGTTCCTCCTTTAATACAAATACCAAGCTTTTCATGAGGCTCTCTTGAAATTATCATTTCCTGTTCCCAGTAAGTCGTAAATAAATTTATTTTAACTCTGTTCATATAAATCAGTAATTATTTGAAGTCTATTTGATTCTCAAATGACTTTTTGTACTTCTGCAACTGAGTACAAATATGTTTTGCCAAATTCAAGTAACGTTTAATCATGGTGATATTTATTAAAGTCAAATATATTTTGCCATTTTTCTTCATTCATTGATTTACATGCAACCTTTTTAAGTCAAAAATGACCTTTTGTTTAGAAATACAGCACATGAACTTGGATAAATATGTGAGTGTTTCTTAGGGTTTTAAAGTAGATGCTTATATGTTTGTATCAAAATGGTAGTTTTTGTTAATCAACACCATGCTGGAGGCAAATTTTTTTCCTTTATTGTGTTTGTTTTCATGCATGTAACATTTTAGTATGTGAATGGTGAATTTTAGAGCAGTTTTAGGGTTATAGAAATATATTAGTATGTGTGTACATATATGCATACATATGATTTTTTTCTTTTTTTAAAAATAATTATTAAAACATATACTGAAATTTGTGTACATGAAAGAGATCAATTAATATTCTTTAAAATAAAACTGCAAGGAATTATATCAATATTTTTACTGTATTGAGAAACAGTAAATACACTTTTTTAAGTGTGCCTTTTTAATACTATTGAAGTTAATAGTAATTCCTTTGTAATTAATGCAAATTTTGGTAGCATGCAAATTCTAAACCTTACTGATAGGTCAGTTTGACTCATGCTTATTCATTAAATAATATCAGCAAAGTTACCACAATATACACATCAAAAGCAGACACATTCCACCTCGAATAGATACACATGTCCAAAGTTCAATAAAGCAGCATGTAAATACAAACAACAAAGTAATATTGGCATGTTTACTCACAGTTACTGCCACAGGTTCAAGCTTTAGTGTTTGCTAACCACATGAGAAGCATGTTGAAAAAAAAACAAATGCAAGAGAGAAGACAGCACAGTTTATAATCACGGTATAAAAAAACAATTTATTTCAATTATGAATAAAACATGACACAGAAGGCAAATGAACACATAAAAGAAAATAAAACAAAATGATTCAAACAAACCTTTAAATAATTTCAAAATGCAAACCTTTAAAAACTATATTGACCTTTGAATCATTCAACTTAAAGATAAAGAAAATATTTAACTTAAGATGAAAATTTCAAAATGGCCACCTTTATTTCACTAACAAATTAAAACTTAATTATACATATTAAAATAAATCAAAGTTTATGATAAAAGGTACTTGTTTAAAAAATAAATAATTGAACACTTAAAATGCATACAATCATAAGATGACATTAACTTGATCAGATTAATAATGCCCATTCTTCTTGTGTTCTATTAACGTTGTTTATTAAAGCCTTTTCTCACGGTAAATACATAAATCAAGAAAATTATGGATAAACACAACTAATATCAAACAAGTAAAAGATGTTACATTTGTTTAAAGAGTAATGACACTGTTTTCATTAGTAAAGCAACTTTGTAAACTCAATTTATCAAGCTTATACGTCATCAACATTGGACATAAAGCATCTCAGAGTATGACATCTTTAAGTTATTGTGCCATAAACCAGCCTGAACACTTCGTTTCCTACAAAACTAACGAACAATATGCAAAATAAGATAAAAATAGTTAAATACATAAAATATTACTTTTGTTGTCAGCATCACTATTCATTTTAATTACATATAAAAATGGATTTCATATCAGTAAATTAACCCATTAACTGTGGCAGGAGCAACTCAGTTGCCATTTTCTGACTCACAGATAAAACTGAGTTGCCATCAGTCACAATAAAATGGATATTTCCATCAATCGCAGCTGATCCATTGAACTTCAATGACGGAAATATCTGTCATCCACAGTTAATGGGTTAAAACACACCATCATGTTTTCCTAGGCTTTATGTACAAATATTTCCGTCAGTCGCAGCTGAGCCATAGAATTTCAATGACGGAAATATCTGTCATCCGCAGTTAATGGGTTAAAACACACTATCATATTTTCCTAGGCTTTATGTACAGATTACTTATAGCTTTTCTGTCCTTTTAATAGGCAAAGCGTAATATATTTAATGTGTGTGTGTGTGTGTGTGTGTGTGTGCATGTATTTAAAACACACACAGAGAGATATATATAATGTGTGCGAAATAAATTCAACCACAACTGTACAAAAGAAACACAACTACGAAATATAACCATTTTCTTGTGAAGACTAAATACATGTTTAGAAAAATGGGTGAATTTGTAAGCCATTTAAAATTCAATTACCTTTAATACAGTCAAGATATACAGAGTTGGACAGTAAAAATAGAGTTTTAAATCATTATTACATATCATTCATGGAAGCACACAGTCATTGAAGTACAAAAGATGTGTTAAGAGCACATTAACTACCTTATATCAAAGAGGAAGGCCACTGGATCAAACTTAATATTAGATATTAGTGAGTATAAAGACAATATCTAAACACAAAATTCTAATGTACAGGTTTCTCCTATTTTTCATTTTTTTGAATAACCCATTACCGTGTATTCTTTAAACAAGTCCAGCAAAATATCAACATAAATGCAGTAACATCATTTGTATCGTACTTAACGAAATTGATAGTTACTGTAAACTCATTTTTACTGACCTTGATCAACAACATATGGGCATTTGTTGAGGAATGTAGCAATAAAAGCTGCATTTGTCTCAACTACGCAAGCCACAACCGGGTACCAAACTATTGTAAAAGATAGTACTAAGATTTTTTCAATACATATACAACATACACAATTTATATCTGGTTTATACTGTTGTTTTATTCTTATCACATTACTTTGCTCTCCTAGGATGAAGAATGTCATACCTGCCACCCCTTGGGAAGTGGATCATGTTGAACTGTAAGGACCACTTCATGTGTTGGTGCAAGTAGTGTTAGTACAGCCTCTTGGTGGGTGGCTTTTTGAATATCAACACCATTCACCTGAACACAAATTCAGTTATGAGAAAAATAGTCAACTACAGCTAATCATACAATTAAATCAAACAACAAATAACATAATTAATGGTTATGTAGACATTAGAAGTAAGTTAAAATATAATTTTTCATTATAATTAGTTTAATGATACAAATAATACAATGGTACTATGCCAAAAATAGTTCTATTTTGAAGTAGTCTACTGAAATAACCTTACATCTCAGCTTTTTTTAAAAATGCTGAGTTACTTTTTAATTCTTGCTAAGTACGTTTTTATAATCATTTTTCAAGTTTAATTTTTTTTGCTGTGGATTAAAACTTCAAAATATAAACTTCATGCCACCTTATCTCAACAGAAAAGTAATACATTTTATATTATTCAATTTTTTTTATTACCATCATCTTTAATCCCTCAAATGTTTAAAAAAAACGTTTGACACAAATTCATAAAATTAATGCTATTTTATAGGCTTCAAGATTTCATACAAAACTAATTTTTATACATCTTTTACTGACATATACTTTATGACTTGACCAAACAATCAGCTAAAAATAAAATCCCACGACACTTATTTTTATAAGAGAACTATCATACATAAACTGAAATTTAATTACACTTCACTTAAAGAATGTTCTAGATTCCCTACTGGCCTTTGAACTAATCCTTCTATTGTATATCATGGTCAATCTGATGGTCATAATTATATATAATTGTCCGTCTCTACAAATTCTATTGTAACAAACCTTTGTGAAAGATGGTGAGGCTAATCTCAGACTATCCATCATGACAAATTTTCCACAAGTCTTCCATTACACTTGGATGATTGCTTTCAATAGCATTTTTAAGTAAAACAAAGTCCACTGAAGCTGCATGTGATCAAACAAGATTGCTATGACTTCAGTTTCTTTGGTTATTTTTCTTATGAAAACAGCTGCAGACTTTGAGATGTGGCTGGAAGTTTGTGAACTTCTAACTTGTGAGCCTTTGTTATATGCCCAGTTTTTTTGTAACAAACCATGGCATTATCATATGCAAATTCTTTTTAAAGTTCAATTAATCTAGATACTCTACCTTTATTAAGCGATCTCCTACAAAAAGTTTTTCTGACTTTTCTGCAGTGCTGTTTGGATTAATCTGTAAAAAAATTGGACACCTGATGATGACATAATCTTGTCGAAATGTTGTACATTTATAAAAAAGTTTTTCATTACCCATTCAAGCCGTCTCCAAACTTTTATTTATCTCATTAGTTCCAGAGAAACTTGCGGTAATGATAAACATTAAGATTATTATTATTATGTAAAGACTGCTTCAGGATCTTACATAGTGGCTATATGAGTTTTAAGCTTTCCATATCACAGGTTTTCTAAGCCCAATGAACAATTAAAAATCTATTTCTGAACTACTGGGATGCATCTATTTATCCATGATATTTAGATATCACTTTTATTAAAAAACACAAAAACTAGATACAATTACACAAGTAAAGAATTAATTATACTTGTAAACGAGGAGAGCAATTTACATACCACAAAACATGAATCTTTAAAAATGTATTATATACTTGTTCTATGAAATGTACCTTAGATATAAATATTCCAGGTTCATTTTGACCAAATGGATAACAAGGATGGTCGACTCCACCTATGATACTAAGGCCTAAGGGATGGCCAGCTTTTATCAGCTTCACATCCTGAAAGATATGAAAATAAGCAATTTGGGATTCCCATTACCACATGCTTGTATATGAAAAAAAATAATTATTTTTGTTTAAGAAGCCTAAATAGTTTGAATACAACCTAGTGACTTTTGTCCTGTCAAAGTTAAATCTTGAAAACCCAATATTAGTTTGAACAATCCTTAGTAATTCTCATTTTACAAATGTGAACCCTAAAGGTCCAATAAAAATTTGTTTTGGTATGGTAAAATTTGAAAACTCAGTATTAGTTTTAATATCAATTAGAAACTCCTGTTTTGGTGAGATTAAATACTACAAAACTAACAATGACATGTAGAAAAACAGTGACTGTTGGCCAACACTGTTAACATAGTTCAATCACGGTAACATTGTAATATATACATATTTATACAAAACTTACATCTATAATCTTATCTAGATCGAAAGAGATGAGAATATTGCAACAAGTTAAATTTTATAAAGTTTAATAAAACAAAAACAAACTTGTGAGTTGCACAAATCTAGCATAATGTACCTCATACTTGTATGAGAAAAAACCTTTTTCAAATGTTAATATGTGAAAGCCTGTTCTGCATGAGTCTGACTTCATTACTTTACATTATGGAAAGTTAAACAATTATGGGGCAGCTGACAAACCCAGTTTCTAGAACAAACTACACTATTAAAGCACTAGGTTTATTTCAAATTCCAAACAAAAGTTGTTATTGTAAGAACCAATAATTTTTATTCCACAATAAAGCTTTGGTCTAAAAACTGAAATAAGCAAAAATGATTCACCAGAACTTATTTTTTATAAGTAAACAAATACACTGAACATAAGAGGTGTTCATTGATCCACCCACACACACACACACACATACACCCAGGTAATTTACATTAACAAAGTTCAACTATTGTAGAATTAATTCTTTTTGAGAATTTTAAGCTAGAAATCTAAAAACTTATTCCAGTTATTTGTTATTATCTAAAAATGCCTTTTGAAACTTTAGCATGCAC